CCGCGGCGCTGGAATTCCGCCGCCTCATGCGAGCCCCCACCATCGAGGGCTACGCCGCGCGGCACAGCAAGCTCACCAAGAGCGTCACGTTCAATCGGGACACGCTGTCCTCCCCGCCCGGCGGGGACCTGCCCGCGCTCTCCCCGCCCTCGCTCGCGCCCGCGCCTCCGCTCTCCGCGCCCCCGGCCTTGGGCGGTGGCCGGCCGCTCGGCTCGTCCTTCGAGCGCCAGGACACTGTGGTGGTGGCGGCGGCCACCGGGGCCCCGCCCGACGCGCCGCTGCCGCCGGCCCCCGCCGTGTCGGCCGTGTCACAGACTGCTGTTCAAGTGACGACGACAGTGCAGAGTGCGGTTGTGGCAGTGACGATGGCCGAGACTGTTGTAGAGGCCAGGTCGTGTACGACCACCACGCCCGCCATTACATGTTCCACGCTCGAATCGCCCACGAAGAAAAAGCCTCCGATTTTCTTGTGCCAAAACCCTCAGTTGAATATCTCAACGAATCAAAAGAACTTCTTTCGACCTTCTCTTTTGCTGCCTTCTCACGGGAGTACCGAAGAGGAATACTTCGGGGAAATAATTGTCGGTATTAAACAGGTCCTACAGAGTCATCTGGTAAGTAACATAAATATTATAAAGAGCTTTTTTTTGTTTTTAACAGACACATTTTCTATTTTTTCGAAATATTTTTTCAGGATGAAATTCAACAGAAATTTCAGCTTAGATTCCAATCTCTAGAGCTTGAAGTTAAAAAACGAGACGAAATCATCAGTCAACTTCAGAAACGAATACAAGAGCTCGAGGTACGCCTTTTTTTCTTTCTGCACATTGCCGCAAACCTTCCAAATTATAAGTTGAAACCTTGTACTGCACTCATAGATCATGATGTTGTCATCACCACCTTACCATTCTAGACCCCTGACACCATCCATCACCAGGAGAACGGCGATGACGGTGACACATCTGATGACTTAGACGAAGCTTCCGATCAGCCCTTCATGGTTGGTACCTCATAGGCAGTAGCGTCTTGCATATTCCTATATTTTCATATCTAATAAATGTTATGTTCATGCGTGGTCTATTGTATTTGTATGCAACACTTTATAGCTTTGCTGATTTTGCTTGGATTGCTCCTCAATACATTTTCGGCTTTCAAAGGTTATCATCAGTATCCATCTCATTCATTATGCGTTTTGAGGTCTAAACAGTATTGTCATTTACAATACAAATTATATATTGTATTGAGGTCTGTAAATTATTCAAGACCCAAGAACGGTTTAATTTTTATTACAATTTCTTTGTTTTTCATGGAAAAACAATGTTTTCATAAGTAATACCACTATGAATTTGAAATACTCAGTACTTGGTATTTAGTATGCTCAAACTACTATGCTTAAAAATATACTTATTTATTGAAAGATACTGCGTACATAATTATTCTATTACACTACTACGCCAGTGGCTTGCTAAGCTTTAGCAGAAACGAGAAGGTAAATATCTTGATTTTGCTTGTTAAGTGGATTACCATTCTCTAAACCCAAGCACCTGAACACTAGAATTATATGCACCGAAAAAAAAACCGTACGAGTATACCAGATCCATGATACTGTAACAAGGAAACTTGGAGATTTCTTCTGCACTTGATAACTTTAAACTAACTCATTACGAATGCAATTGTTCTCGTTCCTCCACTAACCATTCATTCGCGCCATGATAGCCAAATTCTTTACTTGTTTTAAAATATGTATTGTATGAACCCAATAGTAATTTTAACGGATAGTAATAACCCAAAAAATATAGTAGTCAGTCTCGTTTGGTGTAACAAATAATATGGTTATTAACCTTCAAACACAGTAACCTTTCCACCACAGAAAACTTCTTGGAAAAGAAACTCAAAACACAAATAATTTGCGTAGATGGAGAGTTGTGAATTGTGTATAAAGGAAAGCTTCCTCAAAGCTTTCAGATAGAGTCCATCCATTATTTTGTAAGTTGAAACTGCGACAAGTGGCTGTGGAGAGGGTGGAGGGCGAAGAAGCGATGTGGTCGTGAGCAGAGGGCGGGTGCTTGCAGCGCGGGGACTCGGTGGACACGGTGCTGGCGTCGCCGCCGGCGTCGCCCTGCGCGTCCCCGCCGCCCGC